GAAGAATCAGCTCCTTCAGCTCTGATATCGTAGTCACTTTAGACGCCAAAACCCATTTATCAAACAATAAGCTTTTTTCGCTAGAAAACTCCATAAATGTCTGAGACCCATCCCTTTTTCTTAGAGACCTAAATTTCTGACGGTAAGCCTCAGGTACAAGTTCATATGCGTGCAACACAGCTTCTTTAACTGTATCATAGTCAGAACTATCTTGTACAGACAGAGATGCCATTACCTGTTGCGCCTTCCCACTCAATTTGCATTGCAAAAGAAGAGGCCATACTTCCCGCGGCCAACAGAGTGCCGTCGCTAAGCGCTCAAACGCGGTGAAGTAGCGGTCTACTTCGGCCTCCCGGAATGGTGGCATCAGCGTCATGCACTTCCCGACATCCGGCCGCTCAGGCACCATCCCCAGTCCTGTGTCAGGCACGTCCCTTCTGTGGACTGGCTGTTGCGCCTGTATCTCCAGCTCCAACCGTCGGAGCCTAATCTTCGTTTCAGCTTCCAGTTCTAGCTTCCGCATTTCAAAGTCCCTCTGCCGCTGCTTGTCCTCTGCCTCCTGCTTCAAACGAGCCAACCGCAATTGTAGCCGGGCGGTGTCAGGAGAACTGGTCCTGGACTCTGAGGAAGACGGGTCATAACGAGGGAGAGATAATGGAGGAGTCTTTTGTCCCTCACTCCTTTTTGGAGTTTGTCTCCCATCAGCCGGATCCTTTTCTCCACCACCTGCTGTGGCGCCATCAGCATCCTCTTCACCTTCATCAATGTCCCCCTTTAGCTGTGAAGGTAACACAGCAGGATCAGACAAAGGAGATAGCATCTTTAGCTGGTCCATGGTGAGCACGATCTGCTCCTTAAGGTCCTTCTTCAGCATTTGCTGAGCACCAGGAAGACCCAAGTGAGCAGCTACCTCCAATAGATCCTGTTTCCGACATGTCTCCAGTTGTCTACGGGAAGGGGACTCTAGGAAGGCCTGCAACTCAAACCCAGACATGTTATTGCACGGAAAAATATTTTCTCTACCCAAGCAAAGATTAGCAACAGCAATAGAAAAGAGGAAAAGGAGGAGTAGTAGCAGAAGATAATTTCCCGGACGAGCCCCCACTTGTTAGGTTTTTACTTATGCTTTACCCATTTAAGAAGCTAAGAGGACAGAGAAAAGATGAGAACAGATGAGAAAGAAACCTGGGTATAAAAATATGTTCCTTATTTAATCAAAACACACCTTATTTTTGTTACACAACTTACACATGTTCTTGGGGCTGGAGGTTCTAACACAATCTACTAGACACAGCCCAACAAAGAAAACTCCTGAGTCAAATAAACAGCTAATAAAGAAAAATCACAGCTTTTAATTAAAAGCTGGAAAACAGACTAATCAACAGATCTCAGGTAGCTTTTAAAATGAAATAGTTACTTGGGCTGGTAAGAGTTTCTGTAACCCAAACGGCTCTCTGAAGCCAAACAAAAGAACCTTTTAAAGAACAGAGAATACTTAGTTTTCTGTCCAGGCACATATACTAGTGTGAAGCAATTGGCTACAAACCACTGACTCAAGCTTAAACAGAATACCATGCAGAGGCTTTCCTCTAAACGCGCGCACAATGGTATTCTAAAGTCAGGGTGTTCAGAACGGAGCAGAAATGGAGACTACTCATGGGTTAGGAGTAGCTCCACGGGCGTGTATCCAGCGTTCCTTTTAACCCCTCTCGGGAACAAACACACTCAGTCCAAGATGAGCTGCAGGTGTGACTGCAGCAATTCGGAGCGGAGACTTCCCCGTGACGTCATCGGAGAGAACGTCCGCAGCGAGGGAATCCCGGCACGTCTCCACAGCAACGGGGACGCCACCCTCCAGCGATGTCTTGCGCCGGTGTGTCCTTAACTGTTTAGAACTTAAATGCGCCATTTTAAACAAACACAATAATAATAATAATAAAAAGAAAACAGCACATTTACGGCCACACATGAGTGGGGAACGTAACACACATTTAGTTCCATCCATCACAGTAAATGTTAGTTAACCTGTCATGTTTTAATTGTTGGTAAAATAAATTCCTACTTTTATAAACCTGACTCTTTTCTGAATCAAAACGAAATGTGTACAATCCCTTGATAAATAAAGAATCCTAGAATCTTCTGATAAACACACAAAGACCAAGCAGGATTGATATTCTATATTTAGATAGAGTATCACAGCTTATTGGTCATAAGTAGAGGTAATACGTATATATATTGAGCTCTTAAAGCACTCAATTTCCTAAAACCTACAGTGTGTGTGTGTGTGTGTCGTAGCTTTCACAAATTACTTGTTCTTTACCGGAGCTAACACGATTCGTGCTGCGGCAGTCATGCTAACGGGACTCGCCTGCTGGAGTCCAGAAGTACCGGTGCGGTTCTAAATGGATTTATAGATGTAGATTATTATTTTAGATCAAACCTATGTTATTTAAAAAAAACGTGTAGGACATGGACATATGGCTCAGACCTTTAGCTGCAGCTGTAAATGCAATTTTCTGTTTAAATTAAGAACACAATAGTAAACAAAATACAGTGATTTACCATGCTAGCAACAGCAGCTACCTAGTATGACGTGTGTGAGTGACGTATGTAAAACACAGTTCTTCACTGTCTGGAGGTGTCATGATCCTCGTGCCGAGGTGAGTGCTCCTCCTAAATTAACAATCTTTGAGGTTCTGTGTCCCACAGGTGATGAGCAGAGGGTCACCAGGTGTGCTGAATCAATCATTAGGAGCTTGGGTTCAAAAGGAGGATGGAGACACTACTCGAAACCGGATGATTACTCCGGTATTGGTAACACCTGCCACTCGTACTTGTTTGCTCGTTGAAGTTTGACCTCGCATGTTTGGATTATTTGGATTTTGACTTTGGACTGTTTTCTGGATTACGATTTTGAACTTGCTCCTGAAGCTCCGTCTGTTTGCCCTCTTAGGATTATCACCACTACCTTTACCGATTCTGCTAATAACCACGGATCTTCATACACGTCCCATCCTCCTCCACCGCTCCTGCATTTCCCCTCTCTGCTTCCTCACCTCCCGTCCGGCTGGATCACCACATTCATCACCTTGGCACCTCGCTTGTCCCGCAGCTCGCTGAGCTAAGAACTCTGAACAATCGCCCATGGCATCATTCACTGGATTTCAGTGCTCCTTTAGTTCCCGTTTGTTTAATAAAAGACTTTAATTTCTTACCTCCTGACTCCCGTGCTGATTCTGCATATCTTGGGTTAAACGCCTTCCACAAGTCATGACAGGAGGAGAGGATTTTGATTTTCTGTAATGATTTATGACTAAACTCCTTAAAATGAAAAACTGAACCCAGTTCATATTTATATAAATGGTAAAGTGTAGTTATACTGTATTTCTACAATTTTAATGCAGCTACAACCTTTAAGATCACTGTTATGGCCAATAAACGATAATTGCCGATACCGATATACTGACATTAATGCTTCTAAAATCGGCAGATTTTTTATAGAATGAAAAATATTTAAGCTAAAGTACACACACCACACATTTCCACTTCTGAGATTATTACAATCACCGTCACATGGCTAAACAAATATACATCACCCCCTCACCCTCTGAAACAGATAAACAAATAGAAGATGGAAAAAATATTGGTTGTTAATATCAGGAAGATATGGTTGGGCAAAGTAAAAAGGAAATAGCATTAGTAGAGAACAGCATCAGGTGAAAATGGAAGAAAAATGTAAAGGAAGACAATTAAGATCTACAAGATGAGTGAGCGAGAGAGGAACATGGGCTTTGAAGGTGATTTGTATTAAAAAAATGGTGACTGTGCAGTTTTTCGTGGTGGTGGTGGTGTGTGTGTGTGTGTGTGTGTGTGTGTGTGTGTGTGTGCGTGCGTGCGTGTGTGTGTGTGTTTGGGGGGCAGCAAAAACAAGACAGTTCATGTGTTGTGTTGAATACTTTGCCTCCAACATCCACATCAATCCAGACAGTGCATAAAATACACAGCAAGATACTCACAGTAATGAGATCACCTCAGAATGCGAGGTAAAAAAGCCTGAATAGAAAATCTAGAAATATGTTGAAGTGTTAATAAAGGATAAAATAAACACTACAACTCATATGAGAGCCAGATCCTTGCAATTCCTATTTACCATGGGTCACATTCAAATTCTGTGATACCGAATTAACCTTTCTTCTGATTTCTAAACGTTAACTCATTTTTCTGTAGTACAATACCATCCTCTAGTGGTACCACTATAAACTGCAATAGCTACACGTTGCAATTTATACCTATCGCGATAGCTGAGAAAAAGCATAAGGGATTTAATTATTTTAATAGTAAAATGATAAAACTGAAAAATGAATCAATATTGTTTTACATTGGTTGAGACCAAATTTTCTTACTGGGCTTATAGTCAGATAGTGAACTAAAGAGAAACAAATCTAAATGAAAACTGGTGTGTTAATTACCGTACATATAAAATACAAGTGTATTCTGGGAGCGAGAAGAACTCCAGAAAAACAAAGTGAAAATATCCCAAATTATAAAACCTGACAATCAATCAGACAACCTTAAAATACGTTCACTAAGGCAAAAATCTAAATTTCATTAAACTTTAATGCTGTAATTTTTAATAATAAATACAAGCCTTACAATGTGCACTAAAAGGTGTAACAGCTCGTTAAAATAAACTATGTTTTATATGTTTTAAACTTATGTGAAGCTATTTTCCGACTTAGAAGTTAAAATTTTAAATTGTTGTTAATAACAGTATAAAATAACGACTGAACCAAATGCTTACCATTTCGCTTGAGGAGGGGTGTTTTTTGTTGAATAAAAACATGAAAGTACCTTATTCGATACCTTTTTTTACACAGTTTTCTACTAAAAATGAAAGAAAGGCACGCTATTTCACGCAGCCGGATAAATCAGGCAGCAGATCAGGCTAAATAATTTCCTGAGCATGCGCACAAGAAGCTATGACATATACGTCAAAAACTTGTGTCGTTCACGTATCGTACGTAAAATGTTACGTACATATACAACGTTTGGTTAAGCTAATTTCTGATTTGGGGTTGAATATTTACGCTTTCCAGTAAATTGCCAGTCGTTGCTTTAATATAACAAACGCAGAAAATAAGAGCGGGGCTAAAGAAGACAAACGAGTCGTTTGTTCGCTTTTTGTCTGGACGAACATGTAAGTAAGAGCATCACATGCTAGTAACAAAACTGTTCATTTATGACGTGTACTGATTGAGATGTCTCTACTCCGTTGGTCTGTCTGAATTAAATTATATTTTACTGCTTTTTTTATTGTCAGTTTGCTTAGCCATTGAAATAAAGCCATTAAAATGTCTAAGGCTTTGTGTTGCTTCATTCTTCATGCTACATTTTACGTAAGAGCTAAACGTGGACTCATTTATGCGACGTTAAACGTTTTGTGGGTAATAGTTGTGTCTTTTCATCGGGAACAAGACCGACATGAGCAAACAGTAACGCTTGGTGGATTTATCTGCATCTTCCTGACTGCCATGGAGGTTCTTCCAGTTCTTGATCCAGTTGACAAGCCTAAAGAGAACATTTGGTGGGTATATTAACACTTGTGTTAGTTGTGGGGGTTGTGTTAAAATTATAGTTTAGTATTTATTAAAACGTTTTGTTGGTAACAGGTATGCTTTAGTACCCAGAGGAAGTGCTCCAGGTGTTAGTGTGGGGCATACCTGCATGTTTATTCCCTCTGAAGATGGAGGAAAGGGAAGAATCCTCATCATTGGTGGAGCTGATCCCCGTGGCAGTTTCTCAAATGTACACATCATAAATATGGGTAAAAAAAATTACCACAATTCTCAGCACTATATGTTTTATTCTCTAATTGTCCGTTAAAATGTATGTGATTATAATCACACACACACAAGCTCATTACCTGGTCAGTCACTGTTAGCTCTAACTGGTAACACAAGTCTCTTTGCTTGTTTATGTGTTTTGATGTTTGTTTGTTTTTTACCAGATAATCATGAGTGGGACACTTCTGACTGGGAAGGTTTGGAGGCACGATATGAACACTGCAGCTTTGTGCCAGACAGCTTCCTGCAAAACCTCTGGGTGTTTGGTGGGGCACAGAGGACAGGCAATCGCAATTGTATCCAGACAATTCAGTTAACTGGTAATTTCCACCTTCTCTTCCCCTTATAATCTTTGGATATGTACTTTTCACATATAAACAAACCATGACCTGACTTTTTTGTGTGCCTTTTATTGTCTATGAAGTAATTTGCCCATATCTTCATATGAATTGATCTTGCCCCAGATAGTGAGCCTCGCTGGAAGCATGTAGCAGCAAAAGGAGAACCCCCGAGTCCCAGGACGTACCACACTACTACAGCCTCCATAGGAGACAAATTGTTTGTCTTTTCTGGGGGAGAAGCAGGTGATGCACCTGTGTCAGACACCAAACTCCATGTTTTTGATACAGGTGTGTAATAAACTTGTTTTTCAAGAGCCAGTGCTTAACATTAATTCCATTAATAACTGGGTATCATACAAATGAAATGGCAGCGCAATGCCGCTCAGGTGTGGGTTAAATGCATAGCAGTAATTTTCCCCAGGGGATCAATAATCTGAAAAGATCTTGACTACAAGTGAATAACATAGTCATAAAATTCTAACCTTTCATAAGTTTTTAATACTTTGGGTTGATTAGCTGTCCTATTACTAAATGGAGGGCTCTTACTGTTTAGTGTGTATTTATTTTTTTGACAGTTACTGGGAGGACACTCAAAATGAAAGTGCTTACATGTAAATTTTCAGTCATTTCTAAAAGAGGTTTTAATAAACAAACTGTTAAGAGATTTTAAAAACTTTATAATAGGGTTTAATGAGCAACAAAGGAGCGTGCATAAGAAACGTCGCTGAGCCTTTTACTTCTGGTGCTCAAATTAAAGCAGGTCAATTTTTTCACCAGAAAAATATTTAGTTCATATATTTGTTAATGTAGCTGCTCTAAACTTGGAAAGAAGTAAAATCTGTAGCATGACATACGGATTACAGTGTCAGGAAAGAAAAGCTGTTAAAACTACTCATGCAGAGGTGTAGGTGTATTCCCACGTAACTCAATAACTCACTTTTAGCATATTTGATTTTATTTTAAAAGTTGCTTTTCAATAGTTTTTCTCTAATGCCATTGTTTTGATCTTAACATGTTAATATTTGCTTTTCTTTTATGTGCAAATGTGTTCCAGTGTCTTCTACTTGGTCCCAGCCAGAGACTCAGGGCAGGGCACCAGCAGCCAGACATGGTCACATTATTGTTGCAGTGGGCTTCAAGATCTACATCCATGGAGGGATGGCTGGAGAGAAGTTCCACAATGATATGTACTCTTTGGACACAAGTAATTATTTATCAATAGTCAAGATGTAGTGCTGGGTAATTGGACAGCCTTAAGATATGTAAATATCTGTTTGAAGGGAACATGAAGTGGGAGAAAGTGCAGACCAAAGGAGACATCCCACCTGGAGTAGCAGCCCACTCAGCTGTGGTACTGGGTACCAACATCTATGTATTTGGAGGGATGACTTTGGATGGGGCAATCAACTCCATGTATAGATTTCGCACAGGTACACATTTCTCCCTCACTTTAACTTTCCACTGTATTAATAAATTAGTATTTTATCTTTATATTAAATGTCTGCAGATAGACATACATGGAGCCTAATGAAGTTTGAAGGAGACATGCCATCGAACCGTCTGGACCACTCTATGTGTCTGTTGCCATGGCAGCCGTTTGAAGGGAGTGGAGATGGAAGTCATGCCACAAGTCTGGCCTCCAAAGAAACATCACATCTGGTGTTTGTATTTGGAGGGATGGACACTCAGGGAGTCATACATAATGATTGTGTTGTAACTGTTGTGAAATAAAGTGATCTTTGTTTCATTTCAATTTTCTCAAAACACTGAAGGCAAAATTTGCCCATTTAAGGTGGTTATAATTTAACCTGTGGAAAAATGCAATAAAACTAATGAAAGCAGCAGGAGACGGGCAAACTAACAGTTTGTATCAAACATTTATTTCAGTGTCTTTCCAGAAGCACAATGACTTCTCAATAAATAACTCCTCTTCTCCCGTGAACGACCTTTGTCCCACAGACACCCTAGTTGATGTATCCTCAGATATCTGCCTAACCACCCCCCCACCCATCCCTCCCAAACCCCACCAGGACTGCCTGAGAACAGCAGCAACAAGCCACATCTGGGCTAACGAATCTCTGCCTTTCAGCAAAGCAAACACTTGCCACACCGATCATTTTTAAGTCTGTCACAAAAGTCAGTATGATTGCTTGTTCTCATCACCCCTTCCCTGCCACTCTGCTCACTAGAGTCCCATCAATCTGTTCATTATGTACACAGATCCCTCTGAAGGGGCAAGGGGCGACTGAAGACTTCAAGCCTGCCTACAACTCGTCCTTATCTTGCTCGCCTTCAGCGCCCTCAGGTGGAGGTCCACCTGCACTGCCATACAGCTTGCTGATGATGGGCTGAACCACCTCCTCCAACTCCTTCTTCTTAGCCTGGAATTCTTCCAGATCAGCATCTTGATGAGACTCCATCCATTCGATCTTCTCCTCTACTGCCTTTTCAATGGCTTCCTTGTCCTCATCTGACAGTTTTCCACCAAGCTTCTCCTTGTCACCGATCTGGTTCTTCAGAGAGTAGGCATAGCTCTCCAACTCGTTGCGGGCATCGATCCTCTCCTTCAGCTTCTTGTCTTCATCAGCAAAACGTTCAGCATCATTCACCATGCGCTCAATGTCCTCAGGTGTCAGGCGGTTCTGGTCATTAGTGATTGTGATTTTGTTCTTGTTGCCCGTTCCCTTGTCTTCAGCTGTGACGCGCAGAATACCGTTCACGTCAATCTCAAAGGTCACTTCGATTTGAGGAACTCCACGGGGGGCAGGGGGGATGCCGGTCAGGTCAAAGGTGCCCAGCAGGTGATTGTCTTTTGTCAGAGGACGCTCACCTAAAACAGAATTAATAATTAGCCTTCTGCTACATTTCTATTTCTGCACAAACACTGTTTTGGGGAGGTGGATTTTCACTTTAAGAGTAAAAAAACTCATTCTTACCTTCATAAACTTTAATGGTAACAGTTGGTTGGTTATCTGAGGCTGTAGAGAAGATCTGAGATTTCTTGGTTGGTACCACAGTATTCCTAGGGATTAGTTTGGTCATTACTCCTCCAACAGTCTCAATACCAAGAGTCAGGGGGCAAACATCCAGAAGAACCACTTCACCTAAGAGAGAAATGACATTAGTCAACACATCACTTGCCAGTTTAATCAAGCGTGCTCAGCTTAGCAATGCTACTTACCAGTGTCCTCCTCTCCAGAAAGCACTCCAGCCTGCACAGCAGCACCATACGCCACAGCCTCATCAGGATTGATGCCCCTAGAGGGTTCTTTGCCATTGAAAAACTCCTTCACCAGCTGCTGGATTTTTGGGATACGAGTAGAGCCGCCAACCAGTACAATCTCATCAATATCAGACTTCTTCAGGTCAGAATCTTCCAACACTTTCTGAACAGGCTTCATTGTGGCACGGAACAGGTCCTAATAAAAATAAAATAAAAGTTAATACAGATGCTTGCAAAACAACTAAACCAGATTCAATAATGGAAATTTGTCAAACTGTAAACTCACCATGTTCAGCTCTTCAAACTTGGCACGAGTCAGGGTCTCAGAGAAGTCCTCACCCTCAAAGAAGGACTCGATCTCAATACGAGCCTGATGCTGGGCAGAAAGGGCCCTCTTGGCCTTCTCAACCTCACGACGCAGCTTCTGCACAGCACGATTGTCTTTGCGCACATCTTTGCCAGTCTTCTTCTTGTACAGCTTGATGAAGTGCTCCATGACACGCTGGTCGAAATCCTCACCTCCCAGATGGGTGTCACCATTGGTAGCAACCACTTCAAAGACACCGTTATCAATGGTCAAGAGGGAGACGTCGAAGGTGCCACCACCCAGATCAAAAACAAGGATGTTCTTCTCGCCATCCCTCTTGTCCAGGCCATAAGCAATGGCAGCAGCTGTTCTGGATTTAAAAAAAAAAAAAAAAACAATTGTTAAACTTTTAAAAGAGGACAACATTAATGTCCAAAGATTTTACATCTTGTTTGTAACTTACGGCTCATTGATGATTCTCATGACGTTCAAACCAGCAATGGTTCCAGCATCCTTTGTAGCCTGACGCTGAGCATCATTGAAGTAGGCAGGAACGGTGACCACAGCATGTGTGACCTTATTAGAAAATTTAAATAAGGGTCAAATATCTGAAACCATATTTCCTTTGATTTGCTTATTATTTTACTTTTGTTTTTACCTTCTTGCCCAAGTAAGCCTCAGCGGTCTCCTTCATCTTGGTGAGGACCATGGCAGAGATCTCCTCAGGGGCAAAAGTTTTCATCTGGCCACCGCCAATGTCAACCTGGATATGGGGTTTGCTCTTCTTTTCAAGAACCTAAAAAGAAAAATTAAATTAGAAAAGGTGCAAACTCATCACATAAACAAAAATTAACACAACTGTGACATTTACTGTAGCCACCATCAACAGACACTCACCTTGAAGGGCAGGTACTTGATGTCCTGCTGAACAGAAGAGTCGCCCCAAGTCCGGCCAATCAGTCTCTTGGCATCAAAAACTGTGTTCTCGGGGTTAGAGGTCAGCTGATTCTTAGCAGCATCACCAATCAGACGTTCACCCTCACTGGTGAAGGCCACGTAGGATGGAGTGATGCGGTTTCCCTGGTCATTGGCAATGATCTCAACACGGCCATTCTTGAAGACTCCAACACTGAATATAGAAACAAATGTTTAAGATTACTTAAAGTGCTTCTTTAAATGCAATATAAATTGTTAAAATGTCCTCTGAAATACAAAAATCCGCAGCTATGGTATTGCTTACCATGAGTAGGTGGTCCCCAGGTCAATTCCAACCACAGTCCCCACATTATCCTTCTTGTCGTCGTCATCGGCAAACACGGTGCCGACTACAACCATAACCACCCACAAAAGCTTCATATTTGCGTTTTGATAGACGTAAAGAACAACCTGCAAAATTAAAAAAAAAAAATCATGTTGAAAACCATCCGAATGGATGATCAGGGCTCGGTGTTCTCTTCCTCGTGCAGCTAACAGTGTGCTTATGTCATTGCTCGTAGAAGACAGGAAGCTTAACCGTCGCCACAAAAAGATAACTAAGCTCTAATTTTAATTAGTAATCTACACAATTAAGAGTTGAGTAAAGTGCAAATCTTTGGTCCAAATATTCCTAAACAGTTGTTAGGTTTTAAAGTTAGCCAAGTGTCACAAATTCTAAGAATCAAAAGTGCACCCAGCTTGCGTGTAAGAACTACATTATTACGACTGGATTTGAAGAAAAACTGGTAATGCTAGTAATATGGTAGCCGATGCATTAATACAAACTTAGAAAAGGGTGTTTTAAAATAGCAAACAATGCTACAGAAAACATTTAATGATACATGGTTGAATTTACAAATCCAAAATATTACTTATACATACCTTGAGAAGGTATTTGCGGTCTTTTAAAGCCTTTTACAATGAACGAGCGAGCACACGCCTCTCTAAACGAACGACGTCTTCTTCGACCTTCTCCGGAATCTTTTACGTGTGAAATGATAGTGCATGTACAGTCTTCTCCCCATTTATATGCCACAGCGGCTTCCCTGTCGTGGAGCGCTGCGATTGGTCGATCCGCCGTTTGTTGGAACGCGCTGATTGGTTCCCTTCAGCACGCTGGCCGCAGCTGATTTGCACACATCAGTTTGAGACGACGTCACCATCTAGGGCCCACTGTGCTCGTTGCTGATTGGCTGACGGTCAGGAAGCTTCTTCTTGCAGTTTGCTCATAGCGTGTCAATCTAAAAGCCGGTGCTTGGCGTTTCGTTTTAACATTTCACACATTTGAAAGTTTGCGTAACAATTGGTTTGATAATACCCTTCTATTTACAGAAATTAAGTACACAAGATACCATATGAGTACAAAGATTTGTATGGACATCGTGGTAGAATTATGAGTGATATAGATGACTCATTGAGTATGACACATCGCAAAACCCTGCTTATGACTGACTAAACGCTATAGTTACAACAGAAGATTGATTAAAATCCAACGTTTCTTCAGAGAATGTATAGATTTGTAGCACAAACATACATGATTTGAAAATCAACTTTAGTTGTCATTCTTTAGTATAACCCTCTCCAGCCACCACTTTAATCACTCATTTTTAATTATTTAGCACTAACTGGACCAGATTAACAGGTTAAGTGTACCAAAACAAACCACTGATACAACATTCTATACCATCAGAAGGAGAAAGAACTCAAGGTTGAGTAAACAAATGATTGGAATCACATGTTGTCTGTATAATCTTTTTCACTTTCAAGATTTTCATATTAAAAAGACACTTTGCTATACCTAATAAAAAGCTAAGCAAGTGGTAGAATTAAGTTTTTCTACTACTCTTATGAGGACAATCAACTTATATACTAGGAGTAATATTTAAATGTTTAAAAGACATCTCTTTAATTGAAGATTTTGCCACAATCAAAATTGATATAGCTTCTAGCTATCTATAAGCCATTGTTACAGATTTCCAGATGCATACTGACTTCTAGAACATTCATTAAACATGTTTGTGTTGAGTAGAAGATTGAGGATGTCTCTGGAACGTTCTAGAAAATTTTAGTAAGATTAAAATGTATCTATTTTACTTTTATAAATGTGGTAGGACTGGTCAGTAAATGTACAGAAAATGTCAGTATTTGCATTTTTTCCATACGAGAGAAAACTTATGGGAGACAGGAAGTCCCAGTTATAAGCCACAAAATAAATTAATTTATTTTATGAAAAATTACATAATGGAAATTCATGATTTATTATGTTTTTATCTAGATAACCATAATTGTGTTTTCCATTGGTTACTTGTTTCATAGGGCTTAAAAGACAGAATTAAGCACATTTAAGATTAAGATTTGGTTGTTGAAAACACAATCAAAATAGACAGATTTAAAAAGCTGACACCAGAAAATTTCTATTTCATTGTCCAAAAAAAATCACTAACTAAAAATTTGTTAGCTTTATGTAGATGCATCAATGTCAACTGGAGTTTGATCCAGTTTTTCAAAGTTAAAAAAAAAGTATTTTCTGAATTTTAAAGCTCTGATATATGAAATCACATAAAACTTGCACAGCGATTCATTGATATTTTTGATGTTTTTGTGACACTTTTTAGATCTAAGAACATAATCAGTCCAAACCACGAAAGTTAGCTTATCTAGTCAAGTTTATGGATTAATTTTAATCTTAATTTCAAGTTTCTGACAGAGCCTTTTTTTTTCATTAATTGTGGTATTATGTTAGTTTTATAGTACAGTGATGTTTATTGGGTTTTGCAAAGATTATATATATATGTATATATATATAGATCAAACCAGATCTTCTATTTTTCCATGCCGCTTTCAACAACATCCTTTCGTGTTATGTTGACCTCTAACAGTTGTCTCCAAATAGCAGCTTGCTGTGTGTTCCTCATTTCCCCTTCAACTCTTTGCTCACAGTGAATCTGATGAGTCTCAAATGTACACTTATACCTCTGATTATAATGCATTCATTTGACAAGATAAGCAGGTTATGTGCAACAAAACAAGTCAGATGCAACTTTCAGTACAATCAGAAAAAGAACTCAAGTTTGAGTGCACAAATGATTAGAATTATATTTGTCTGTTTAATTATTTTATCCAGTCAAATTATGTATGGTAAGAAAAAATTTTACTCTTAAGACTAAATGGACAATAAATAATTATAATACTTTCATGAGACCAATCTACCCATCTTAGAATATTAGAAAAAAATGTCTACGATATTGAAATAAAAAAGATTAATTTAGCTTTTATATATGGGCAATTTATTCAGTGATAGCTACCTTTTTCCCCATCCTGATTTATTTCCAGATGCACAGTTGCTTCTAGAACAATCATGAAACATTTTTGCTTTTCAGGGGAAAGTTGGGATTTATCTGGAAAGTTTTAGAAATTTTAGGAGAAAAAAAATGATTCTATAAAATGCATTAAAACTAAATGAAAGCAGCAGGAGACGGCCAAACTAACAGTTTGTATCACACATTTATTTCAGTGTCTTTCCAGAACCACAATGACTTGTCTCAATAAATAACAACGACCTTTGTCCCACAGACACTCTAGTTGATGTAACCTCAGATACCTGCATAACCACCCCACCCCCATCCCTCCCAAACCCCATCAGGACTGCCTGAGAACAGCAGCAACATAGTTGCTTCTAGAACAATCATGAAACATTTTTGCTTTTGAGGGGAAAGTTTGGATTTATCTGGAAAGTTTTAGAAATTTTTAGGGAAAAAAATGATTCTATAAAATGCAATAAAACTAATGAAAGCAGCAGGAGACGGGCAAACTAACAGTTTGTATCAAACATTTATTTCAGTGTCTTTCCAGAAGCACAATGACTTCTCAATAAATAACTCATCTTCTCCCATGAACGACCTTTGTCCCACAGACACCCTAGTTTATGTACCCACAGATACCTGCCTAACCACCCCCCCACCCACCAGGACTGCCTGAGAACAGCAGCAACAAGCCACATCTGGGCTGACGAATCTCTGCCTTTCAGCAAAGCGAACACTTGCCACACCGATCATTTTTAAGTCTGTCACAAAAGTCAGTATGATTGCTTGTTCTCATCACCCCTTCCCTGCCACTCTGCTCACTAGAGTCCCATCAATCTGTTCATTATGTACACAGATCCCTCTGAAGGGGCAAGGGGCGACTGAAGACTTCAAGCCTGCCTACAACTCGTCCTTATCTTGCTCGCCTTCAGCGCCCTCAGGTGGAGGTCCACCTGCACTGCCATACAGCTTGCTGATGATGGGCTGAACCACCTCCTCCAACTCCTTCTTCTTAGCCTGGAATTCTTCCAGATCAGCATCTTGATGAGACTCCATCCATTCGATCTTCTCCTCTACTGCCTTTTCAATGGCTTCCTTGTCCTCATCTGACAGTTTTCCACCAAGCTTCTCCTTGTCACCGATCTGGTTCTTCAAAGAGTAGGCATAGCTCTCTAACTCGTTGCGGGCATCGATCCTCTCCTTCAGCTTCTTGTCTTCATCAGCAAAACGTTCAGCATCATTCACCATGCGCTCAATGTCCTCAGGTGTCAGGCGGTTCTGGTCATTAGTGATTGTGATTTTGTTCTTGTTGCCCGTTCCCTTGTCTTCAGCTGTGACACGCAGAATACCATTCACGTCAATCTCAAAGGTCACTTCAATTTGAGGAACTCCACGGGGGGCAGGGGGGATGCCGGTCAGGTCAAAGGTGCCCAGCAGGTGATTGTCTTTTGTCAGAGGACGCTCACCTAAAACAGAATTAATAATTAGCCTTCTGCTACATTTCTATTTCTGCACAAACACATTTTTAGGGAGGTGGATTTTAACTTTAGAGTAAAAAAAAAACTAATTCTTACCTTCATAAACTTTAATGGTAACAGTTGGTTGGTTATCTGAGGCTGTAGAGAAGATCTGAGATTTCTTGGTTGGTACCACAGTATTCCTAGGGATTAGTTTGGTCATTACTCCTCCAACAGTCTCAATACCAAGAGTCAGGGGGCAAACATCCAGAAGAACCAGGTTATCTAAAATAGAGAAATGATATTAGTCAACACATCATTTGCCAGTTTAATCAAGCGTGCTCAGCTTAGCAATGCTACTTACCAGTGTCCTCCTCTCCAGAAAGCACTCCAGCCTGCACAGCAGCACCATACGCCACAGCCTCATCAGGATTGATGCCCCTAGAGGGTTCTTTGCCATTGAAGAACTCCTTCACCAGCTGCTGGATTTTTGGGATACGAGTAGAGCCACCAACCAGTACAATCTCATCAATATCAGACTTCTTCATGTCAGAATCTTCCAACACTTTCTGGACAGGCTTCATTGTGGCACGGAACAGGTCCTAATAAAAATAAAATAAAAGTTAATACAGATGCTTGCAAAACATTAAAACAAGATTCAGTTACTATTTGTCAGTGGATCAAATATGTCCATTGGTTAAAGCTGTGAGACAGACCAGTCAACTCAATGTGAAAACTGTAAACACAAATGTCTAAGTTGGTTCTAAGGTAATAAGTTGGTCTTTTATAATTTTAGCAATCAATTCACATAGGTTACTATCAATTACATAAAGCCTAAGGGTAATGAACTTTAAGCTAGCCACCTAGCAGTTTATTGTTGTTAATGGATGATCAATGAATTTAACAGCACACATCAACACTGGTGGTATTCAATTACATTTCTCTTCTAAAAAAAGATTGGAAATAGTTTATTGAAACTAGAGGGAAAACATCATTATTTTATTTTGCAGTGTGCATAATGATGTGTGCAACATCATTATGCACACAGCCCTCAATGGCACGATGTGACCTTTAGGATGGCTTCTCGATAATATTTAGGATGGCTTCTCGATAATATTAATCTCTGAAGGTTGTCAAGGGTCTTGGTGAATTGTTGCAGCACAGACCACTCTCATTGTAAACATGCAGTTATCTGAAACGGTTTGTCCATGTTAGCAACAATAACCAAGTAGGGCAGGGGAGCAACAGGTCAATAATGGAAATTTGTCAAACTGTAAACTTA